AACTGTATCCCTATTTAAACAATTTGTTTTTTCCCTTCCCCCCCCCCCCCAAATTATAGCAACATCAAATACAGTGGAAACAGAGGTTATACCATGCAGCAGGGACATACAAAGTAACAAAAGAAATCACATGGTGCTTTCTAAATACATTAGAAACAATAAGAAGAAAGAAATCTGTCTTTGTCTTTATTGTGCTCTTGTTGGTTTTCTATGTGTAGGGCATCTTTAAGTATCTTTTGTAGGGCTGGTTTGGTGAAGATATATTGTTTTAATTTTTTTTTTTTTTGCTGTGAAAGGTTTTTATTTGTCCTTCTGTTGTGAAGGAGAGTTTAGCTGGGTACACTATTCTTGGTTGATAGTTGTTTGTCTTTAGGGTGTGGCATACACCATTCCAGGCTTTTCTTGCTTTAATTGTCTCTGCTGAGAAATCTGAAGTTATTCTGATTGTTTTCCTTTTATAGGTGATTGATCTTTTCTTCCTGACAGCTTTAAGGATCCCTTCCTTGATCTCATTTGATTTTGTGAGGATTACAATGTGTCCACAGGATATCCTGTTCTGGTCTGGTGCATTTGTGGTTCTACAGGATTCTTGTATGTGAATGAGCCTGTCTTTTTGCACGTTTGGGAAGTTCTCTGCTAGGATCTTGTTAAAAAATTTCCTAGCCCTTTAACTTCTTTCTCTAGGCCCTCCTCTACACCCAGTAGCTTTAAATTAGGCCTTCTGATGGTATCTTCTAAATATAGAATAGATCTATCATATTTCTTGGATTTGTCTTGAATACTTGTATATTCTTTCTCTATGTCTAGGCTCTCTTCAATCCCAGAGATTCGATCTTCTGCATGGTCTAATCTACTGTCAACACTTTCTACTTTGTTTTTTATTTCCTTTCCTTCTAATTGATTAGATTTGATGGCTTCAAATTCTTTATTGGAGCTTTGTTTTAGCTCTTGTATGGACTTCTTTACCTCCTTAATTTGGTTTTCAGTGTTCATTCTCCAATCCCTTATTTGATTGGTTATAGTTTCATTGGACTCCCTTTCCTTCTGTTGGACTCCATTCAGCTTTCCCTTTGTGGCCTTCCTGGATTCCTCCAGCTGTCTGTTCATGGATTCCATGAATGTCTCTATTAATCTTTGTTTGTTCTCATCCCATTCATGCAATTCCTGTGCCATCCCTCATGCTCACGAAATTCCTGTTAATGTTTGGAGGACCAGCTTCTGAAAAGTCAAACATCTAGGTTTCAAAATCACTAATGGCTTATTGTGAAAGACAAAGACATCTATATGCTAAATGCCTTTTTATATTCATGGGACATAAATTAGTGGAGCAAGCCCTAGGCAATAAGATTTCAGAGTGTCTGAGAAAAATACATGTACCAAGTTTATTTAAGCAACTAATAATAGCATAAGATAGAAATAAACAGATAGAGGCAGTCAAGGTCACTAGACAAATTTAGCTCATCTATGTCTACACAAGACATGAAATCAAGCTCTTGAAGGTTCAGGATGAAGAGGACCTCCTCATATTAACAGGGAAAATAAATACTACAGGAGAGTTAGTTTGACACACTCAATTTCTTTGAAGAAACCTATAAGCAGTAAGAATGACATAAGATTTTTACAATACAGAAAGAAAAGAGAACTTAAAAATAGGGAAATTTCACCCACAAAGCTTTTTTTTTTTTTTTTTACAAATGGGAGATCAATATTTTCCTAGACATAGAGAAGCAGAGAGACTATATCTCCACCAATCCCATCTTTTGTGAAATGTTCCAGGACGATTTCAAGTTGAATTCATCTGAATGAAAGAGCTGTTAATTATTAAGGAAAAATATGAAAAACATAAAAGTTAATAGTAAGTATATTTATTGAAACATATTTCAACTGTTCTAATATTGTAAGCATGATGGATAAACCATTCATAATTCACTGTGAAGATGTAAAAATTTCTAACAACTGCTTTTGTGTTATTTGATAATGTAGACAGATGTAAAAGAAATATTAAAAATCCAAAGATGAATTGAAATTGAATTTAAGTGGGAAGTTTCCTTAAGATTACACTTTTTCTTGTTCAACATATAAGCCAAAATGTAAGCCAGGAATCAAAGCACATGTTAATCATCTTTGCTAACAAGGAAGACTATGAGACAGGGAAAATGAAAGAAGGGACCTGCAACAAATGGAAATTCAAGTTTCCTAACACTTGTAGTAAGACCTTTCCTATCAATCAGTTCCTTATGTATTAATAACTGGATTAACATCTCCCATTTAGAGACATGGAATGACTAATGGGATAAAAACTATACTCAATTATATGTGACTTACAAGAAACTCACTTCACCTCCATAAACACACAGATACTGAACAGAAGGAGAAGTAATCATGTATTCTCATATTCTATACTCCAGGACACCAAAAGGAAGGATAAAAAGCCAAACCAATATCAGAAAAAGTAGATTTTAAGTAAAAAACAGTAAACCATATAAGGATGTTCATTATACAATGATGAACTCAGTAAAGAAAAGTGACAATTCTAAGTCTGTAAGTACCCTATATTAGAGTGCTCAAATATATATAGCACTCAGTGGACATAAGGAACTAGACAGCCTCCAATATAATCATAGCCACATTTTCATCAACGAACACATCATCCAGACAGAAAATCAGCAAAGAATGCTGAGTGAAATAACAAATAAAACTCACAGATATCCACAGAACATTGCTTCACACGCTGAAGAATGCATGGTTTTCATCAACACATGAAACACTGTCTAGGATAGATCACACTCTATGGCCAAAATAACTTTCAAGAAATACTAAAAACTTAGCTTCATACAAGAAAACCTTTGGAAAGTAAACAAAATAAATAAAAATTAGCTTAATTTTTAAACATCAGTGGAAATAATTCACAGGAAATTAAAAAAATATTGAAATAGATGAAAATGAACAATAACCTCAATATATGGCTCAAGTGTTAGTATATCACTTGCTTAGGCAGCACAAGCTTCAGTGTTGTGAGGATAAAAGAAGAAATGAGTACAGAAGAGGCAATAAATCTGAAACTGTAAAGACAGGGTTTTTTTTTTTTGCAAAAATAAAAGCAAAGTTGGTAACAAAAAATTGCCATACATCACTTAACCCTTGTTTATATGGCAGCCTGGTCTCTGAGACATACTGGCACACTGGCATTGAGACCCTGTGTGTAGACCCTCCTTCTCTGCTGTACAGACAAGAGGTCTTTATGTGTATGGTTCCCATCTGAGGGCTCAGGGACTGGATGACTGTGACAATAACAGTAGGGTGACTGGATCTCCATCCTTATATCCACTCATTCTTCTCTTCCCCCTGCAACTCAGAGCTGTTCCCAACTCAGAGCTGCTCTCAAACACAGCTATGAGGAACTGTTTCTAGATGTCTTGTTTGTCCTTTGCACCATGATTGCCTATTTATCATAAGCCAGTTACAGTTTTAAGACTCTACCCATCAACTGGGTGAAAATAGTAAGTATGATTTTATTTTGTAGTAGTATGAATCGGCTTCCATAGTCCAAGATTCAGGTTGCTGATATGGTGGTAATAGATTAGATATTGGAGGCTTCCAAATCAAATACCACATGTGATTTATTTAGGGGAATAGTTCTGAAGAACTTTGACTTGTCAATGACTTATGGGTGAGTGAGTTTGATTTTTATTTTTTGCAACTGATGCAGCTGCTTAGACTTATAATAGTAAGTGCATGTGAGTACCCTGCTACTCTGTTCCCAGATGTGACATTCTGTACTAGGGTAGACAGTGTCTCCACATCTGAACTCCATGTGGGGATCCCTTTGTACTGTACTTGGGGTTCACTACCGGTGACAGTTTTCCTTATTGTCCCATGCTAAGAATGTCCTTTGCATGCTGTGTGTGTTCAACACTGTGTACATCCCTCACCACAATACTTTTGATCATTTCTGAACTTTTTAAAAGCCCTAAACCCAGTTATTAAATCTTTTACACTTAGGAATGTGAAGAGATGGGTGATATAGGAATATCCATGATTAGGAAGCAGAGTAGACTGAAGTGAATTTGAGCCTTTAGTTTGGAGAATACCTCTGTTTCTGACTGGGAACAATTTGAGTTAAGATGGTTGGAGACATGAATGTCATCCAAAAGAATTCCAGCTCAGAAATGCTCAAGGGTTACAAAGCTACAAGGTAACCAAGTCCTTTTCAGCATATGGAGAGCCAACATATAATATGAACTCTCCTAAATACTGTTAGCAGGAAAGTGCATTAAGAAGTGAAGGACAGCGATCACTTACCTGCAGTTAATAGCAGATCCAGTGGCTAGACCATACATTGCAGACCATGGCACTTTGTTGCACACACTATATATTTGTATTATTTTACTTTAAATAAAAATATCTATCTATCTATCTATCTATCTATCTATCTATCTATCTATCTATCTATCTATCTATCTATCTATCCACCTACCTACCCACCCACCCACCCACCCACCTACCTACCTACCTACCTATTATCGTTTTCCCTCTTTCCTTCTGACATAAATCTTATATCTTGTTCAATATTTAGGCATTATATTCATTAACAATTAACAATGAACAAATAAAAGGAGTCAAGGAAACAGATTCAAGGAATCTGTTCAAAATAATTAATTCTACTTTCTGGAACTATCTTTCCTTGATTGAAAACTAAAATGAAAAAATATATCCTTAACCAGGTGGAGATCAAAATTCACTCTATTCATAAGAAAAAAAAAGAGTTATTCTGTTCTCTGGGCCACAGAGAGAAACACTATTTTTCAGGCCAAGTTGTACTGCCTTGGTTTAGCCTGTGGCACATGAGGTCTGTGCTGACATAACAAAATCTTAAATGCTTGCAGCTGTGCTCAGCGATTGCAGCCTCTGCTGATTTGCAATTTCTGTTGATTTGCATTTGCCCAAAGCACAGCCCACTTCTCACAAAACTTAATAGCTGCTCATAGACTGTGCAGGAGTCAGTCACAGTCAGCACACAGCATGGACATCAGAGCCCCTGCTCAGCTCCTGGGGTTCCTGCTGCTCTTGCTCCCAGGTAAGGAAGGACAATGCTGAGCATATTTACTTAGTTCATTGTTCAATGCTTCTTTGGGGAAGTCTTCTAATAAATGGATAATTATTGTTTTTATGTTTCCAATGTTAGGTGCCAGATGTGACATCCAGATGACCCAGTCTCCATCACTATCTGCATCTCTAGGAGACAGAGTCACCATCACTTGCAGGGCAAGTCAGGGCATTAGCAACTATTTACATTGGTATCAACAGAAACCAGGGAAAGCCCTTCAGTTCCTCATCTATAGAGCAACAACTTTGCAACCTGGAGTTCCATCCAGGTTCAGTGGCAGTGGATCTGGGACAGAGTTTACTCTCACCATCAGCAGCCTGCAGCCTGAAGATGTTGCCACTTATTACTGTCAACAAGGTTACAGTGATCCTCCCACAGTGATACAAGCCATAACAAAAACCTCCAAGGGAAGCAGAAGTGAGAGGCTGGGCTGCCCCAGCTACTTCTCTGGGGGCATCCATTTGTGGAGAGTGCTTCTCAGCTGCTGCCAGATACTGAAGGCCGCTGAGATGTTTTGGTAGAAGGGACAAGGAACCCCCTCTACATCCCAGGTTTATCTTCATGCTCAGCACCAGTAGGATACACATGACAATGCCTCTCCTGTCTTATAAAGGACATAGGTGGGTACTCACAAGGAATCTGGGATATAGTATCCAGTTTGGCTTTACTGTATGTACACTAAAAAAGAGTCCCAAATATTAAAATAATTAATTTCTTTAGAGCCTTTTGATTTTGGCGCAATGTTATACATGCAGATGAATAGAGTACAATTGAGATTCCTAATCCACCTTCTGACATTTAAGGTAGATTGATTTTTGTTATGGCAAAAAGACAAGGTTTTACAAACAATTAGATTCAAAACAAGTATTTTCTACATGCAAATTGCTGAAGTTGGATAACTGCCAAAACACTATGTGTGAAAATGACCACAAATTATTACAAAGACCCAAGTGTAAAAGTTAATTTTTTTGGTCAGTCATGGGGCTTGAACTCAGGGCCTGGGCCCTGTCCCTGAGCCTCTTTGGGTTCAAGGCTAGCACTCTATCACTTGAGCCAAAGCACTGCTTCTGTTTTTTGAGTAATTGGAGATGGAGTCTCACAGGGACTTTTCTGCCCAGGCTGGCTTTGAACTGCAATCCTCAGATCTCAGCCTCCTGAATAGCTAGGGTTATAGGTGTGAGCCACTCCCAACTTAAAAGTTAAAAATTTAAAAAAAAATTATTACCAAGAAATACAAGTGTAAAATTGTGAATTTGTATTAGTAACTTTTTCATAGTTGTAGCACAGGCTTTTGAGTAGCTAGGATAACAGGAAGAGCCACTGAAGCTTGGCTTGTGACATCATATTTTAAGACAAAGTACACAGATTTGTAAATGGAGTTGAAGACAAATTGTTATTGAAGCATGAAAACTGAACACTGAAAGCCTGCAACTAAACACTGAAGCCTGGAAACCAAAAGAAATAAGAGAGAAATGAGACTTCATAAAATTGCAACTCGTATCCTAATGTGTAGTTGGTAAAAAGTTGAAAACATATTTGAAAATTAATGGATTATTTTCTCAAATGAATAAATAATAGTGAATCAGTGAACAACACAAATACATTCAGGTGTAACAGAAAGATTGATAACTTCACAAATGACCAAGAAAATGCTGAGATACAAGAGAAAAGAAAATAAAATCTCTAAGACAGTAATCCCACTATAAATCAGAGGAAAAGTGAGGAAAACACTGATTGGCTTTCCTCATGAACACTGAAGATGAATGGCAGAGGGAGGACATAGTTAGCTCTGAGTGGATAGAAGGGAAACCACAAACTCTATATTCTCTGATATGTCTGTTTCGTGCTGTTCCTGGGCCTTGAACTCGGAACCTGATGTTACTACCCAAGCTACCCCTTCAATTACAGATTTTTCATGGTTAATTAGAGATAAGAGTCTCATGGACTTTTCTTCCCTTGTTGGCTTTGAACTATGATCCTCAATTCTTAGGCTATTCAGTAGCTAGGATTATAGGAATGAACCACAAGAGTCTGGCTTATGAGAACCTGTTTTAAAAGGCAAGACAAAGTATATAGATTGCCTTTGTAAATGGAGTTTAAGATACATTATTATTTGCAGAGAAATAGAAGAAACCAGAGCATATTTTACAAGAAATGTATTCACTGCCTTATATGTGTAACTGTAACCCCTCTGTATATCACCTTGACAATAACATTTAAATTTAAAAAATAATATCTCTGGGGTTGGGAAGGTGGCTCAGTGATAGAGTGCTTGCCTTACATGCATGAAGCTGTGGGTTCCATTCCTCAGCACCACATAAGCAGAAAAATCCAGAAGTGGTGCTGTGCCTCAAGTGTTAGAGTGCTAACCTTGAGCTGAAGAGCTGAGGCATAGTGCCCAGGCCCAGAGTTCAGGCCCCACAACCAACAAAACATACATACACACACACACACACACACACACACACACACACACACACACATACACACACACACACACACACAAACTCTGATGTTCATGTTGTATGTTTACCTTTATCACAACCACAAAAGCCCAATCTAAATTCTTATTAATATATTGAAAGGATATAAGAATGGCAAAATATTATGTGAACACTCATCTTTATGAATGATTAGTATAGAATGTAATCTTGGAAAAGCAACTAGGAAGCAGCCAAGGAAAGAAGGGATTATGAAGGCACATCCCTCTCTAAGGAACATTCATTAGTTTACTCTTACTTTTCTTGAATCCCAAATGACATTTTATGTTACTTTCCACAGGAGAGGCCTCACCGCCTAGTGTGTGTCTTTGCACTTCACATGCCAATTTGACTCACACCACTGCACCCACCAGGACATTTGCATATTGCTCTCTAGGGAGAAGCTTCCCTGCAAGTTCAACGTAAAAGCTCAGCTCTAAGCTTGCCTGGACTGAATTGAACTCCTCAGTTTATCTTCTCAAAATGAGATGCCCTGCTCAACTCTTGGGTCTGCTAATGCTCCTGGTACATGGCAAGGACAGAGGAAGATAAAGAAGGGGAAAGTGATTTTTGAGGTTCTCCTATTTCCTGTGTGTGTCTTGTCTATGTGTGAGATCTGCTGTCTCTTATCTGACTGGCGAATGTGTTAAGTTGGAGAGGGTCAGAAAGATCCTAGAGGGAGTCAAGATTCGCTGTGGTGAAGACTGACTCAGAGAAGAGAAGGAGCCTGGATGAAGATAGTTCTCAAATCCTTCATATAGTTATATCTCTTGGATTCTTCTTAAATTTAGATGTGTAAGGGATATAAAAAAACTCCATATCAGTGTCAAGATGGGTATAGATCAAAGTCAGAAAATATGGTCAACATTCCTGGGCTTATGGTTGAATATCTCTAGCCATTTATAATAAAAAATAACTGAGGCAGCCAGGTACTGGTGGCTCATGTTTGTATCCTAGCTACTCAGGAGGCTGAGGTCTGAGAATCATGGTTCAAACCCAACTGGAGCAAGAAAGTCTGTGAGACTCTGATTGCCAGTTAACTATCAGTAAACCAGAAATGGTTCTATAACTCAAAGTTGTAGAGTGCTAGCCTTGAGCATAAAAGCTCAGGAACAGTGCCCAGGCCCTGAGTTCAAGTCCCTATGACCCAAACAAAAAACAAACAAACAAACAAAACAAAACAAAAGAATTAAAAGAAACTGATGTAAATAAATGAAGCACCAGACTAATGATGGCTCTCCAAGTTTGTAAGTTTGCACTTCTCTCTCATTATTATAGGATTGAGTGTTGATGTCATGATGATTCAGACTCCACTCTCTCTGCTTATCTCTCTTGGAGAGCCAGCCTCCATCTCCTGCAGGTCTAGTCAGAGCCCTCTGCATAGTGATGGATATTCCTATTTATACTGGTTCTTCTAGAAACCAGGCCAGTCCCCACAATCCTTGATCTATTTGGTTTCCAACTGATTTTCTGGGGTTACAGATAGGTTCCTTGGCAGTGGGTCAGAGACAGATTTCACACTGATCATGAGCAGAGTGCAGGCTGAGGATGCGGGAGTTTACTACTGCATGTAAACTATAGAACATCTTCCCACAGTGTTACAGCTTGGAATGTAAGCTGCTTTGAGTGTGGTGGCCCAGCTGTGCCACATGGTTCTTCCTTGGGGAGCAGCACAACAGATTCCTTGCAAGTGTGAGGAAGGAGAGGAAGAATGCTGGAGAGTAGTTTGCTGATGAGGGGTGTGACCATGAGTGCCATGTGATTACCTATAGCTCAGACAACCATGGTCCTGTCACAGAACCAGTGTCTTCTAATGACTGAGTGTGCAAGAAGGCTGGTGATTCTTATGAAATCACCAGATTTGGGGTGACCTTTGCTTCCCATGATTATACAGAACATTCTTAATGCACATCTGACTGATGAGCATGGATCACTGTTGGCTCTGCTCCATGTTGGGAAATCCCTAATGGATCTCTGGTTATCATGTCACTGCATGCAACATATCCCTAAACCCAGGTGATCATTTGTGATATCTACCCATTGAATCAGAACACTGTTCTGAAGTTCTTCTTGGCTGTGATGAGGGGAGGGAGACTCAGAGAGACAGATCCTCAGGTTGCTTTGCACAGAAAATTCACTGAACATTGGTGACTACAAACAATGCATTGCTCTCCTGTGAATCTTGCAGAGGTGCGTGTTCTATCTGAGATCAGGCCCTGCCCCTCCCTCACTCATTGTTCACAAAACACACTCCAGGTCTCTTTCTGTACTCATGTCATTGACAGCCATCACACCCCCATCAGAACCCACTAATGAAGCCAGCGGTGGCTACCATCTCTGTATGTCCTTGATGATCTGATACCTGCAGTCAGCACCATCTTACAGCCTTATGTTAGGACACAATCAATTTACATATATCATTGTGTACATTTTTCCAAGTATATTGAAAAAATTTGCTCTGTATTTTCTAGTTTGTGCTTCTTATTTTTAAATATGTCTTAAGAATTTCAAGAAGATATCAGCTATCTATCAGCTATAACAACTCAAACAAGTCATAGGACCCTGTTTATAATTATCAATATAGAAAAGTCTAATTGAAGGCAAAGAAACAGGATTTTTTTTTTTACTAATTTTCTACTGCCAACTGCCCTCAGATAATCAGTGGAGAATGATGTGCCTACTGAATTCTTAGTGGAAATTGAAATAGTAAATTTGGAATGTAGGAAACTTTAATTATATCATATAAAATATGTCAAGAATTGGATTTTAAGATGTGCCAACAATAGGTAAAAGTAAGCTGTGGCTCAAAGTGTAGAGCACTAGCCTTGAGAAGAAGAGCTCAGGGACAGCACCCAGACCCTTAGTTCAAGCACCATGACTGACCAAAAAAAAGGACTAGTCAGAAAGAAGTGGAATTTGACATTAGGACATCCTGATTTCAATGCTATTTAATATCAGCTGGTCCTTACATCAGTAAAACACTAGGGGTCACTCAAGTCATATGTGTGCAACTTCCAGACTAAAATTTTCTCACTGTTTAT